ACCCACGCGTAGCTCTCGTTGCGTAGATCGACTTTAATTCTTGGCCCGACGGAACTCCGAGAATCGGCGAAAGAAAGCTTGAAGAATTATATTTTTTTCTTCTTTGCTCTTGGGTTTGATCCAGCCGGCCAAATGAAGAGCAAATATCTGATTTTTCAGATATTTGCCCACTTTTATATTTTCTAAACACTTGGCCCTCGTCGCGCCAAGTGTCGTCCTTTGTTCGGATCCGTTTTCATCCCGAAACGATTAAATTTCGTACCGATTTAAGCTCAAAATATTTTATATGAAATTTATTTAAAATATTTTTAAATTTTCAAATTTTTATAAAAATTTCATTTTTAGGGGTCATCGAACACCCGTCACCTCGAAAAACGTGAAAAATCTGATTATCTCAAAATTCGACGAAATTTGTCTGGGTAACTAGATTTGGTGAGACGAATCCAACGGTGAGGTCCGTTTCATCATCCGAGGTCTATAAAAATACCAGTTTTTTTTAACCCACACTATAATGGCAAATTACCATTTTACCATTTTTTCAGAAAAAGTTAAAATTTTTCCCGGGTTTCACATTCTTCCTCCCTTAAAAGAATTTCGTCCCCGAAATTCACATACACATGCACATACAATCACATGCATATACAACAGTCAATTAATGCTAAATGACCAGAAGAATGTACCTCCATCCTCGAACAAGAAAGGATAACTAGTACGGACAGTGTCCTCGCGCTCCCATGTCGCCTCCTCTACTCCTCGATGCTGCCACAGTACCTTCACTAGCCGCACAGTCTTGCCTCGCAAAACCTGTTCCCGGCTATCCATGATGCGCACCGGTCCCTCCTCGAAAGTCCCATCAGCATCAACAACAAGCTCTCCCCAATCCACCACATGAGTCGGATGTGGGGTGTACTTCCGAAGCATAGAGACATGGAATACTGCATGAACATGCGATGCTAGATTGCCACAAAAGCAAACGGGAAGAAGAAGATAAAATGGGAAAACAGGCGTATAGCCCTAAGGAGGAAGGGAAACAGAAAACTGGGATTTTGAAGAAAGGTCAAGACCTCAAGGGGAAGGAAAAGGAATGGCAGAAAGTTACAAGAAAAGGGGGTCCCAAAGTAACCGTGGAGGAGGGTCACCAAGTTCCTAATAGTTTATTGTATCCTAATGGCTTAAGTGAAGGAGTTATTGCGGCTAATAAATTCAATGTGCTAAACGGGGATCACTCGGGCAAGGATGTAGGAGAGGAGGAAAATGCTGAAATGGAGAATCATAACGGTACTCCAATAATTGAAAATAGCACCACTGGAGGATTAGAAGCAAAAGAAAAAGAGGACTTGTCCCTCTCAACGTCTAATCATGAAGGAATTCAAGGAGTAGGAGTGGAAAATGAAATGTCTTCAAATGCAGGAAGTCCATCACGGAGCTTTGAGGGCATGAAGGTCTACGAGGTTATCGGCACTCCCTCTCAAACTCAGGGGACAGGGCCTGATGAGGTGCAGCAAACGGTTGGTATAATAGTGTGATTATTGAATAAACAATCTCTTTCTTCTACCTCTTCTTCCTTCCTTGTGGATCATTCATACGAGCCTAGAGGAAAACAAATTTGCACCGTAGATGATGATAATGGGCTGATAAGGGACAAAGAGCCACCAGACAAGGGCTTTTACTCTGACCAAGAAAGCTCAGAGAACTGGGTTGATTTAAGTGAGGCTGCCTTTGGTCCAATGGTACTCCTTGCCTTGTGAAAGCTTTGCCTTCTTGAGGTCAAGGGTTCAAGTCCCCCTTCCCCCTTACCTCCCCAAAAAAAAAAAAGTGAGACTGCTGCTGATGATGAAATTCAGGGAATGATCCTGCTTAATCAAGTTTTAGAGAACATTTCTAACTCCAGTACTGGGGGTAGTCCCAGAGGTAATGCTGAAACCACTTCTTTATGATGAATTTTATTATGTGGAATGTAAGGGGAGCTGGGAAAGAAAGCTTAAGAAGCAGATTAAAGAAATTGATTGTGATGAACAAGGTTAGTCTACTGGCCGTTATTGAACCAAAGATGTCTACAACGAAATTAAGAAATTTTGGTCTTGCTGTGGGGTTAAATTCTTATATGGCAAACACAATGGCAGAGAAAAATATGTGGTTACTATGAAATGACAACTTGGAAGTAAAGAAAATGCTGGACTTTGAACAAGCAATGACTGTGTCTATCTCCTACCAGGGTGGTGATCCTGTTTTGATAACCGTGGTGTACAGATGTTGTGAGTATTTGTTAAGAAGACCTCTGTGGGAGCACCTAAAATTTATCTCTGCATCTTTTGATATGCCCTGGCTGGTTATGGGGGACTTTAATATTGTGATGAGATCAAATGAAAGAATGGGGGGGGCTTCTCCTTCAGTGTTGGCAATGGATGAATTTGGGGAATGTATTCAATCGGAGGGTCTTATTGACTGTGGTTATGGAGGGAATAATTTCACTTGGTGTAATGGTCATCATGGAGGGACTAGAATGTGGCAAAGGATCGACAGAATGTTTATCAACACGGAATGGAATGCCAAGTTTCAGATTTCTCAGGTCATGCATTTGGCAAGAGGATGCTCTGACCATTGCCCCATGTTGATCAAGATTGTGGAGAATGATGGCCAACAAAGAATTTCTTATTTCAATTTTCTGGATATGTGGGTTGAGGATTAGTAGCATGCAATTGGAGTGGAAGTTACGCAGGGAACCCAATAGAGAATCTCTTTCTCAAACTGAAAATGCTTAAGCTCAAAATCAAAAAGTGGAACAAGGAGGTTTTTGGAAATATCTTTGAAAAGATTAATAAACAAGAGTTGGCACTGAGGGAGGCCGAAAGAAGTGTGGATGATAACTACTCGGAGGCTACTGTTTCTAACTTGGAAGCTGCAAGAAAGAATTTAGAGGACACCCTTAGATTGGAGGAAATGTACTGGAGACAAAAAGCTAATGCTAAATGGGCACTACAAGGGGAGAGGAACACCAAATTTTTTCACGCTTTGGCCAAAGGTAAGGCTATGAGGAATAGATTGTTGAGAATTAAAGGTGAAGATGGGGAATGGTGTGAATCTGAAGAGGAAATTGCTCAAAATGCCGTTTCTTTTTTTGTAAAACTGTACAAAACAGAAGACCATAGACTTGATGATGAGTTATTTGGGGTCATTCCTAAGCTTGTTGGACTAGGGGATAATGAGAAATTGACTATGGCTGCTACCTCCCTAGAATTGAAACAGGTTGTCTTCTCTATGTTTGTGGAAAGTGCTCCTAGAGCTGATGGATTTTCTGGTAAATTCTTCCAAGTTGCTTGGGAAATCGTAAAAAATGACCTGTTGGAGGCAGTTAACTTTTTTTGGGTGGGGGAGAGGTCCCAAGGTCTGTAAATTCAACTCTCCTTGTTTTGATCCCTAAAGTGGCAAAGCCTAGCACTTTTACAGAGTTTAGGCCGATAAGCCTCTGCAATTTCCTGTATAGTCTTTACCATGGTTCTCTCCAATAGACTTGTTGTCCTTCTTCCTTCTCTGATCTCTAATGCACAGCATGGCTTTGTCAAAGGGAGAGGGATTGGAGATTGCATCTCATTAGCTCAGTTAATGGTTGGAGAACTTGATCGAAAGGTTGAGGCTGGCAATGTGATTCTAAAATTGGATATGATGAAGGCGTACGATCGCATTGAGTGGGACTTTCTACAAAAAACTTTAGAATGCTTTGGCTTTTCAAATCTACTTGTCTCTATCATTGGCAAATGCTTGAAGAATCAATTTTTCTCGGTTTGCTTGAATGGGAAAAGATTTGGGTATTTTCCTTCATCTAGAGGATTGAGACAAGGTGACCCGATCTCCCCAGCTCTCTTTATTCTAGCAGAGGAAGTGTTAAGCAGGGGCTTGACGAGGCTGTACGGTGATGGTAGGATCAAGGCCTTTCATGCAGAAAGGGGTGCTCTTCTTGTTTCTCATCTGTTTTTTGTAGATGATACTCTGCTGTTTCTTAAGGGAAATAAACTCTCCATGGAACGAATGATGAAGTTTTTGACTAGATATGAGAATAGCTCTGGGCAGAGAATAAACAAGCATAAAAGCTCTTTAATTTGCTCGTCCAAAATTCCTGGGGGCAGGAAAATGGCTTTATCCAGAATTGCTCAAATTCCGATTAAAAAGTGTCCCTTCATCTACCTGGGCTGTCCAATGATAAAAGGAAGATATAAATTGCAGGATTTTGAGGATGTGATACAAAAGTTCAAGGCAAAACTAGAAGGGTGGTATGCATGCCTGCTTTCTAATATGGGTAGAATTGTGCTCATTCAATCGGTTCTCAATGCGATTCCTATTCATTTACTCTCTTGTCTAAGCGTACCCAAAGGCATCCTTGCGAAGTTGAAGTCATTAATGGCCTCTTTCATGTGGTCTGGCAGAATGGGTGAGAGGAAAAGGCAATGGGTTTCATGGTCGGATATTTCAAGACCGAAGCAAGAGGGAGGTCTTGGAATTCGAAAATTTGAAGACATTCAAACGGCTTTTAGATGGAAGCAGGTGTGGGGAATTCTTAAGGGTGATTCTCTTTGGGCGAGCACGTTTAAAGCTAAATTCTTAAACGGTAAACATATGTTGAGGTGTCAGGGTACTGGTAAATCTCGTACATTCCGTATGCTGCAACCTTTCTTTAGATCGGTCATGGATAACTCCAAGGTTATGGTGGGGAATGGGAGGTTTGTGGATTTTTGGTGCTCGAACTGAACTGGATCTGGTCCTTTTCTGCTCAGGTATGGCGTCTCTCCCTTGTGCTTTCCAAGTCTGGATGCGTTATGGGCAGGTGGGGATTGGCAGTGGCAGCTTTTGGGGGTCCAGGTCTCTGATCAATTAAAGCATGAAATCCAAAATTCTGGGGTTAGAATATGCGAAAAGGAAGATCGTCTGATATGGACTTTAACCGAGTCTGGAGAGTTCAATGTAAAATTTGCTTGGCAAGCGGTGAGATCTTCGAATGACCCTGTGCCTATTGCCTCTGCGCTCTGGAACCAATCTGTCTTCCCAAGTGCAAAACTGCTGGGTTGGAAGATTCATCTGAAAGCCGTGTTAGTGGACTCAAATTTCCAATGAATTGGCGTTGAATTGGCTAGTAGATGTCCCCTGTGTCGTATGGATGTGGAATCTTCCCCTCACCTGTTCATACAGTGTGGTTTCGCTAAAGAGGTCCGGGGGAAGCTTGCTGCATTATGCGGCTTTCAAATTTTTTGCAGCTGATTCTCCTATGGTTCGTATGATGAGACTTATCAGAATATTTAAAAAACACACTGTTAGTCATAACCTGTTAAGAGGTGTTTCATTAGTGGTATTTTGGAGGTTATGGAGGGAGAGGTGCAGAAGGTTTTATGAAGGTATATCCCTCTCAGCCCATGCTGTGTTCCTTGATATTTGCTCTTCTTTGCGTCTCCAGGCTTATGGCGTTAGACCGCAGGCAATGGAAGGCATGACGGGTATGGATTTATTGAGGACTTTAAAGGTGGATATGAGGCATAAGCTAAGACCAAAGATCATTTGGGTCGACTGGTCCCCTCCTCCTTCTGGTTGTTTAAAGCTAAATGTGGATGGGGTATCGAAAGGTAATCCTGGAAGAGCCGGGGGTGGAGCTGTAGTAAGGAATGAATGGGGGCACTTAGTGTTGGCTGCTTCATTTTTCTATGGGGTTTGTTCTAATATGGAGGCTGAGCTGCGTGCTCTTAAGGATGGTTTATTATTGTATAAAAGTTATGGGCTATTAGACTATGCCCTCCAAATTGAAACTGACTCGGCGACTATGGTCCAAATGGTGTTAAAAGGACACAAGAGGGCATGGAAGTTCTGGAAGATTTGCGACGAGATCATGAGTTTATTGGAGGGCATGACTTTTAGTCTGGCTCACGTGTATAGGGAAGCGAATTACTTGGCTGATTGTTTTGCTAACCTCGCTGCTTTAGAACCTGCCTCTGAGGATTTCTCACAAGATTTGTTGATTCCTCTCCACGCCAAATTAATTCAAAAGCAGGATCGACAAGGAGTTAAAGCACCAAGGAAAAAGTTGGATAATCTTTGATTATTTGCTTATATCATGATTCCATTTCATGAGCTGGGGGGATTACCTCAGATGGAGCTCTTTGTTCTTGCTTGGTATTTGGCAGCTTTTTCTCATCATTGCAGCTGTGGGGAATATCCAGCTGTTTGTTTGCTGATTTGGGCAGGCGTGCACTGTTCACATAACTGTTCACGTGAACTCCTTGGTGGCTGCTGCTATTGGCTTCCTCTCAGCTGTTGGTTTTTCACGGTTCTGTTCAGCTTCATTTCTTCGCTGTCCAAGTCTACTGTTCACGTGAACAGTCTGATTCCTGCTCTGCTGAATTTTACTGATTTCCAGCTGGTTTTCTTCTGCTACTTCAGCTGGATTTCCAATTGGTTTCTTGCTCGTATGAGCCACTCAGCTGGCCTCTCTACTGTTTTTTGGGTTTGCAATGAAGGAGTGCTGGGGGCTGTGAGGTTCTGTTTTTTTCTGGCAGCTTGATATTTGGTCTATCTTGGCGGTCTTGGCAGCACTATTTTTCCTATGCAGCAGTGGGTTCTGGTCAGAAGGGGACTGTTCAAGCGACTGTTCACGTGAACTGTGCAGATGCTGCTGCAGCTGATTTTTCAGCTGTTTTATTTGATTGCTTCCTCGGTTCCTGCTGCTGCTCTTCTTTTTGAATTTTCTGGCTTTCAGCGGGCTCCCAGCTGGTTTCTCTTATGGTTTTACTGCTGCCTTTTCTGATGAATTTTAGCTGCCTTTTCTGCTCTTCCTTTTGCAGCTGCTTTTCATGCGTCTGTTCACCTGATTACAGCTGGGCTTCCAGCTGGTTTTCAAATTGATTTCCAGCTGGATTTTCAGCTGCTGTTCAGCTGGTATTAATGTCACTTTTGTGCCTTCTGCTGCTCTCTATGAAGGTGTCTGTTGCAGCTGTGGGTTTTGGTTTGTTGGGCACTGTTTACGTGCTTTGTTTGGTTGCTGCTGCTGATGGGGCATCTACGGTTATGGCTCACAGGCTGCTCAGCTGGACTTTCAGCTGGTTTGGGTGATGCTGTGGGTTTTCTCAGCTGAATTCTTCAGCTCTCTTCCTTATCTCACTCTGTTGCCTTTTATTGATCAAGGATGGACTGTTTTTGCGCCATCACATGGTCCAGTCTCTGCTCACCAGTTCTGTGCAGCTGGTTTCAGTTCTGGTTGAACGCTGCAGGGGTTCTGGTTCTAGCTTGATGCTGCACTGGTTATTTAATGGTGCTCTTCGGTTTCAGCTCCGCTGGACTTCCAGCTGGTTTTAATGTTTCTCCAGCTGGATTTTCAGCCGTTTTTCATGCTTTTGCGCCATTCAGCTGATCCCTTGCGCCTTTGGCTTATGTAGAAGTTTTTCTTTGCCTTTTATTTTGTAGGTTTAAAGCCAACTACGACTTTTCCTTTGCTATTAAAGCTTTGTCTCTTTGCTTCTTGTAATCTTGGTTTTTATCAATGGCATTTGTCTTTTTTACCAACAAAAAAAAAAAAAAAGGGTTTAGGGTTTAGCCAGCAAGGCAGTTCATTTGTTTTTAGTGAGAGAAGCTCCTCCTTCTCTCTTGTTTTTTTCCTTTATTTTCTGCGAATTTTCTTTGCTTTTTCTAGCTGATCTGATCATCAATTTTGACTTCTGGTCAAACCCGAAGGCAAATTCCACCTAAGCCACCGGATTTTACAAAGATTTCTACTTTAGCCCCAAAGACCTCGTTGACTTCATTAACCCCTTTGAAATCGGTACAGTTTGCCGATTCTAATCAGGATGAGGCAATGCTTCTGGATCAAAGCAGGACAACGCCAAAACTCTTGGTATGCCCTCTGTAATTCCTTCGCTTCAACCTAGATCGAATATAACCAAAAATTTCGCATCCCCTTTTAAGAAACCCTCATCTTCCTCGTTGCCTTTGTGCTCTTTATTTCCTTCGGTCCCTTCGAGTTCCTCAGAACCTTCAGTCCCTCTAACGCTGATTGATGGGTCGTCTTTTCCGGTCCCCTCTGCATCTTTAATCCGGCCAGCAAAACGGGTGGTTTATTGTTCTTTTTTGCTTCTTTTGCTCCACCTCCTCGTCATTCTTCTCTTATTTTTTTCTCTTATTATTTTTTGTTATTCTTTAGATTTTCATATTTATGTGCGTAACAAATCTATTTTGTGTTTTGATTTCAGTTGTTTGTGGAATGGATGTTTGCTTATGAAGGATTAAGAAGAGTTGTACGAGATAAATTTGCAAAGCGAGTTTATGATTGAAAAGATAAGTATATCTATTCGTCTTTGATCCATTGACTTTCTTTTATATGTAAAATGTGTTTTACACATGACTATTTTACTTGTTTTTGTGTGTCTTATTTGTTATGATAATTATTTCTATTATTTTTATCCCCCAAATCTCCTACAATTTTCTTTTCATTTTTCGTTGTTGTTTTCTTGTTTTTACACAACCTATTATTGCATCGAATTTCTTTGATTATATGTGTTTTGTTGGCTTTTCTATTTTAGAAATTATTTTTTATTTCTTTTTTTATTATCTTTCTATTAAAATTGTTAAATGTTGGAAACAAAGTTGAATTATTTGGAGAGATAGCAAAAAGATAAAGTATGAAAGAACATTAAGAGTTTGTAGCATGTAGAAGTAACTAATAGAATATAGAAGTCAAAGAGAGCTCAGAGCTTAAGGCTTGGGGCATAGGTTTTTTTGGGGTTTTGGGTTAAGGTTTAGGGGTTTAGGTGCTAGGGGTTAGGGGTTATGGGCCTAAGGGATAAGAGTTAAGGGTTAGAGGTTTAGGGGTTAGGGATTTGAGTTTATTCTTCTTTTGCTTCTTTTGCTCCACCTCCTCATCATTCTTCTCCTATTTTTTTTTCTTATTGGTTTTTGTTATTCTTTAGATTTTCATATTTATGTGCGTAACAAATCTATTTTGTATTTTGATTTTAGTTGTTTGTGGAATGAATGTTTGCTTATGAAGGATTAAGAAGAGTTGAACAAGATAAGTTTGCAAAGCGAGTTTATGAGTGAAAAGATAACTATATCTATCGTCCTAGATCTATTGGTTTTCTTTTATATGTAAAATATGTTTTACACTTGACTATTTGTACTTATTTTTGTGTTTCTTCTTTGTTATGATCATTCTTTGGTGGTCTTTTGGAAATTATGGAGGGCGCGATGTAAAAGAATCTATGATGATAATGCTCTAAATGCCCATGCCGTGTGTTTGGAAGTCTGTTCAGCTCTTAGGCTGCAAGCTCATGGTATTAAACCCAAAGCAACCGAAGGAATCATGGGCACGGAGTTTTTGAAGGCTTTAGAGGTTGAGGTGAGGTATGAGCTGAAACCGAAGATTGTTTGGGTCAACTGGTCTCCTCCTATTCCTGGTTACTTAAAACTAAATGTAGATGGGGCATCAAAGGGCAATCCAGGTAGAGCTGGGGGTGGCGCTGTGGTTAGGTATGATTATGAGATATATAAATTTTGTGACAAGTTGATATTTATTTGGACTCCTATTTTTAGAGGAAATTCCGTTAGAATTTTTTATAAAATTAGCAAAACCCATATTGAATTCAATTTCTCTTATTCAAGCAATGGAAGGAGAAATGTTCCAAATCAACTACTTTTTTTTATGTTAGATGGTATCTTCAGGCACCGGTTGTCTATAGTTTGGACATTGTTGGTATTGCATTAGGTTTTGTGTCATTTTGGGTTTAGTGTTTAGAGTTTAGGGTTTTAGGGTTTAGAATTTAGGGTTTAGGTTTAGTCAAGGGCAGTTATTGTTTTTCTAGTGAGAGAAGCTCTCACCACTCTCTAGGTTTTCTTTGCTTTTTCCTGCATTCTTGATCTTTATGCTTTGTTCTGCGCATTTATTATGACTGCTGATCAAAATCAGGGTCAAATCCCTCCTAAGCCACCGGATGTTTCCCTTATTTCCATCACAACCCCCAAGATTTCTTTAAATCCTTTAACCCAGTCAACATCGGCACACTTTACCGATATTGTTCAGAATGGGGCAAAAGCTTCAACAACGTTGCAAGATGTCACAAAGAACTCTTGTATGCCTCCTACAAACCCGAATCTACAATCTACAACAGATATTGCAAAAATCCTTCCACAATCGGTGCAATTGTCCGAGTTAGGCAGATGGTGCAAATGCTTCAGGATCGCAACAGGTAATCGCAAACTCCTGTGGTATCCTCCCCAAAAATCCCAATCTCCAACCCGGATCTGATATTACAAAAAATTTTGCTCCCCTTTTCAAAAAAAACCCCATCAACTTCGCCTCCTTTGGTGTTCATTTTTCCTTCGGCTCCTTCGAGCTCTTCGGATACACAGTCTCCACAGCCGATTGAAGGGGTCTCCTCTCCAATGCCTTCAGCATCCTATTTTAGGCCAGCCAAACGGGTGGTTTTCAATAACGGGGAACCTGGGATGTATTGGTCTTCTGAGGAAACTCAAACTCTCTCAAAGAAGTTCCACCAGACCTTAATAGGAAAATGCGCATATGGTTAACCATCAGTTGGTGTTATCAGGGAATTCATCACTACCAGATGGCTCCTGAAAGGCAACTTCACTGTCGGGGTCTTGGATCCAAGACACGCATTGATTACAATGAGGATTACGTCAAGACATGGTTAAAGGATGCTGTGACACCCCAAAATCTGGGGGTCCGTTGATTCCCCATCAACCCGTGGATACCGAGTAATTTGATATCACGCCATTATGCGCCATTTACTGGAAACCATAATTTTTTATGAAATTCGGGCAGAGTCTCCTTTGTACGGGAAGCTCTGCCAAAAACTCAACCTGTGCAATCATATAATAACAAGACCCATCCGAGGTCCAATATTCAACAATGACCACACCGGGTCCAATTATCCATATTTATATCAACACATGCAAAGTTAGTTTAACAATAGTCTATATAAGTTCTATTACAATTATTTGCAAAATATTACATGTCCAAAACATTATTTCCACAAATGTTTTACATTATCACAAAATAAAGCCACATTCGGCTTTCTTCAAACATGAGGGTCCAAATTGGAGCCATCTACCGATGTATCTCTCCCACCTGAAATGTTTTGCAGTATAAGGTGAGCTAACGCCCAGTAGAATAATCCCTCTAGAGGCTACTCTCCACCTTAGATGCATATGTGGTGTATATAAGCAACAAACAACATTTAACAATCATTCCATACAAGAATATGCATTAAATGTGGAATGTAATCATGTCATGCCATGAAATGAGATGATACTCACTCATACACTTAAACCCAAGTCATCATCGACTCCCACGACACAATGCAATGCCAAGGTATACTGAATCCGTCAATTGACGAAAAAATTCACCAAATGATCGTTTGAAATAAAAGTTGTTTTATTATAAAACCAAATCATTAATGGGTGTTACTCATTATATGAGTACTTTATAAATCAAAATCTTGTGTCTTGTTGGGCAACGAATTTTGGATTTTATACCGCCGGTTCCGTACACCATACTACACTTTTTTGGAATTTCACTACAGGGGAATGTATAACCAAGTCGCCGAGTCTTGCACCCGAGGGGGGAATCTACCCCTTCTTGCTATACCCGACACAAGTTTTTCTTTCATGCAACCATGTGACTCATTCAGATTTTCAACCTAACTTTTTCGAGTCTACCCATTAATCACCAAGAATGGTGTTTAATTAACCATGCATACACACATCCACACTCATGACTCATGCCCATGAATGTGATGCCAATTCCTTGTTCATATTGCAATGCATGCCAAAGGAACAATTTTTACACATCAATGTCTACCATGGCGATTTATATCATATGCTAATAATCCCCATAATTTCATCACAATGTCAAAACATCAACTAGCATGTGTCAACATTTATATTCAACACAATTGACAAGCATGTTATCACATAATCTATGTCAAAAACACACTTAATTTAAAAGACAAAATATAGCACATATTTCAGCCCACAAGAAAATCAACCCATAGTGGCCCAAAATTTAGCCACTAAACCGCCCCAAAATAGGCCCCAAAATAGCCCCAAAGTAGGCCTTAAAACAGCCCCAAAAACAGTCTGTATACAGCCCCTAATTAGTGCACAAAACAGCCCCAATTTCAGCACCAAAACAGTCCGTAATTCAGCCCCTTAACAGTCCAAAATTCAGCCCCTTAACAGTCTATTTGGACAGCCCACATATAAACCATTTTCAGCCACTAAAAGCCCACTTAAGGTAAGAATAAAACCAAGGTAGGAGCGAACCCTACCTCTTGTAGCGTGTAAGAAGTGGTAGAACTTCTAAAAAACACCAAAACAAGCCCAAGAACCTTTGATTCCTCCAAAGTCTTTTCTTTGCACCTTCGGTGAAATCCACTTTTCTTGGTACGTACACGTAACCCTCGTCGAGGAGATGAACTTTGATTCTTGACTCGACGAATTCCGACCGACGAAACTCCGAGAATCTTGGATTGAAGCTTGAAGAACTTACTTGTTTTTCTCTCTTTTCATTCTCTTCTCTCTATGGCCGGCCAAGGGTCAAGAACATGAGATATTTTTTCCAAAATATTTAAGTCAAGTAGGTATTTATAGTCCTGAATGTGTGGTCCACATCGCACCGCATATTTCAGACTTCCGGGTCCGTTTTTCGTTCCGAAACGATTTGTTATACCTCAGATTTAGTTAAAATTAATTGTATTGGAACTTTAACTTGATTTTAAGAAAAAAATTAAAAAATTCATTTTTGGGGAACTTTAAAATGTCATTCGCCTCGTAGTTGCCTTGAACAACGTGCAAAAAATCGTCTATCTCGAAATTCGACGAAATTTGACAGGGTGATTAGATTTTGCGATACGAATCCAACGGCGAACTTCGTTTCCTCAACCGAGGTCTAGAACATGAGTATTTTAAATACGCATTAGGATGACAAATTACCATTTTACCCTTTCTAAGAAAAAGTTCAAATTTTCCCGAGTTTCACAGATGCAACACACATCGAGGGCTTCTTGTTCAGGTTCTTCAAGTGGTTTTCGGAGTTCCTGCCTGGGATTGAACCACCAGTGGTTCCTATTTGGATTTCTCTCCCAGGTTTGCCAATTCACCTCTTTGATAAGGAGAGCCTTCGGGACATTTTGAGTCCCATCGGGAGAATCCTTGTAATTGACTCACCCACCCTCCTATTATCTAGGCCAGGTGTGGCTAGCGTATGTGTCGAAGTTAATTTATTAGCTGATAACCCATCTCGTCTTTGGCTGGATTTTGGCGGAACAAGTGGGCGTTGGCAAAAGATTAATTATGAAAAATTGGTGAAGTATTGTGCTGGGTGTTTGAAAGAAGGCCATGGGATGCTCGAGTGTCGTAAAGGCAAAAGGGAAGAGGAAAACAAAGTGGACAAACAGGCATACAACCCTAAGGAGGAAAGAAAGCAGAAAGCTGGCATCTCGAAAAAAGACGAGGACCTTAAGGGGAAAGATAAGGCATGGCAGAAAGTCACAAAAAAAGCGAATTCCAAAGTAACCGTGAAAGAGGGTCACCAAGCACCACAGTTCTCGAATCCTATAAATTTAGATGTAGGAGGAGAGGAGGATGCCAGTGATTTTTGGTGCACGAACTGGGCAGGATTGGCCCTTTATTGCTCAGGCACGATGTCTCCCCCTCGAGCTTTCTAAGTCTAGATGCGATATGGGCAAGAAGGGGACTGGTAGTGGCAGTTATTGGGAGTCCAGATTTCTGAGCAATTAAAGCACGAAATCCATAAATCTGGGATTCGTTTATGTGGCAAAGAAGATCGATTGATATGGAAATTAACCGAGCGGAGAGTTCAATGTCAAATCAGCTTGGCAGGCGGTGAGAACTTCAAATAACCCTG